CCACACCCCTCCAAGTCCACGCTTGTTTTCCCAAACACAATCATGTTGGACCCCGGGCACACTCATTCTGTCACCTATTGTCACCTCAGTGGAGTGAGCAGTTGCAGCAGTGTGCACAGGGCCGACAGAGCTTACTGGTCCTCTCTGGCCCTTTGCAGGCCACTCTGCTACCTCGGGTCTGTGCTTCGTCGGAGTGGAGTGAGACAGAGTTTCCCCAGAGCTGCAGACATTCTGTTCACTGGAACAAGATCCTGGTGACTGGCTTTGAGAAGTGCAAAGGAGGTTGTTTCCGAACCCTGGTCTGTGAGCAGGCCTCTGTGTGGTCCGATGCAAGCCTGTGCTCAAGGGAAGCTCCTTCCTGCACCGTTCCAGAAGCTGGAACCTGTGAGCACAGACCTGTTCACCTCTTTCTGAACATCTTCTTTCAGTTTATAGATTAGCCACCATTTTCCTGTGTCTCTGTGGATGAGGAAAGAGAAACATAAGTTCTCAGTGTCTTTTCCTATAGGACACCAACACCCTCAGTCAGGGCCCCGCCCTTCTGACTTCATTTAGTTTTAATTACCTGCTGTAGACCTTGTCTCAATTGAGGACACCAGTGCGTGGAGTTTGGTGAGACATAGCTCAGTCCGTAATATCGTCCACATCCTCTTCTCAGAGGACTTTCCAGTTGTTCCCTGACACGGGCAATGATGACGTAGGGCGGCAGGAGGCAGGTGCCCACTCTGGGGCTTAGGCAGGTTCACCAGGAGCAAATGCTGAAAGGAGACACATCTCCCCCTTCCTGTGTGTGTGTGTGCGCGCGTATGATCAGAGGACAAAAACCCAAGAGTCTTTCCTTAGAATGGTCCACTGTGTTTACTTAAGACAGGGTCTCTCACTGGGACTCGGAGTTCATAGTTAGGCTAGCCTGGTGGGCCACGGAGCCCAGGACTTGCCGGTTTCACCTTCCCAGCACGGAGATTGCAAGCACCATCATGCCTAGCTTTTTTATAAATATGTATTCTGGGGATTACACTCATGAGTTAGCTGAGCTATCTCCCCAGCCTGTGGGAGACCTCTGTGTAAATGTGGGGTTGAGAGCTGCTCCCTAGAACATTGACATGGACATAGAGCAGGCCAGGGTGAGAGCTGGGCCACGGTTCTCCAGGCTTCACCCTGACTCTTCACGGGGGCTGGCAGTGCAGCGACCGCTTAAAGACTCTGGTACCACATCTAGCTAAGGGTGGTCTTGAGGGACATATCCCCAGTCTCCACAGGTGTGGGCGCTGCCGTAGGAGCCCAAGGGCTTTCCCCTAAAGGAGAAGCAGGTACAGAAGCCAGAGGCCAGGGGAGGTGGTGTAGCACCTGCCCACGGGCCTGGAAGAATTACCTCCTTTTCTAGTTGCTGTGACAAGAAGCAGCTGGTGGAGGGAGGGGACACAGCTCACCATGGTGGCAGGAGCAGAGGTGACCGTCACATCCAGGCCAGGGAGCAGGGAGACATGCTTGCTGGGGCTCAGCTCACTTTCCCTTTTGTATTCAGTGCAGGGCTTCATCGGTCCACAGAATGTGGTGCTGGTATTTGGAGTGAGTCTCACTCTCTTGACTAGCCTAACCTGGAAAGCACAGGCACTCTCCGAGTCCTGTGGACTTGACAATGGTACTGTCACAGAGGTGTCTGGGCGAAGCCTTCAGTGTTAAAGTGTGAGCCAGTAGTAAAGTGTGCATCTGAGGCTCCCTAGGCTCAAGGCGCGGACAGAGTCAGGCACACATACGAGAATAGTCTGCTCTTGGAGGTCATCTGAGGAAGGGATCTTTTGTTGTGTTTTGTCGTGGTTGTGCTTTGATAATTTCATATGTACATATAATTAAATATGGTCGCATGTACCCCTACTTTCCCCTGCCAACTCCCTCCAAATCCCCTCCCACATCTACCTCTCAGTTTTATTTCCTCCTCCTCCTCCTCTTCCTCCTCACTGTGTACAGTCAGTGCTGCCTGTGTGTGTGAGGACGAGGGACCATCTACTACAACATGGGGAATCTTCCAGTAGCCAACCTCTCAAAGACTGACTCTCCCTCCCTGGGTGCTGTCAGTCACCAACAGCCCCTCAGTGAGGGGTGGGTCCTTGTGAGTTCCCCCCATCCATGCCAGGATTTTGGTTGGCTTGCTCATGGGCAGGTAACCACAGCTGCAATGAGTTCTGAGTGCCAGTCATGTGATGTGCAAAGACAGCATTTCCGTTTTCCTCTTCATCCTCTGGCTTGCTTCCTCTCTGCTTCCTCTTCTGTGATGTTCCCTGGACCTTTGGATTTGGGCTGCACACTCACAGTCACTTAGCTCAACCTTTGACCAGTTGGGAACCTCTGCAGTGACCATTGCCCACTGTAAAAGGAAGCTTCTCTGAGCACAGTTGAGGGCAGACCAGTAGCTTCTGTGTGTTCTTCCACCCCTACACCAGCAGACAGTAGACGCTCAGACTGGAGGGCTGCTTGGAGAGCAGGCCACGAGATGCCCAGATGGGGCCAGAGCAATAGGTAGAATCAGGTGTGGCTGGCCTCTGCTCTGGGCCTCTCCCAGATAGACACCCTGCCACTGCCAGGGGTGCAGTGAGCAGTCATCTCCCAGGGGTGCAGTGAGGAGGCATCTCCCAGAGGTGCAGTGAGCAGTCATCTCCCAGGGGCACAGTGAGCAGTCATCTCCCAGGGGCACAGTGAGCAGTCATCTATCTCCCAGGGGTGCAGTGAGCAGTCATCTCCCAGGGGTGCAATGAGGAGGCATCTCCCAGGGGTGCAGTGAGTAGTCATCTCCTTGGGTGCAGTGAGCAGTCATCTCCCAGGGGTGCAGTGAGGAGGCATCTCCCAGGGGTGCAGTGAGCAGTCATCTCCCAGGAATGCAGTGAGCAGTCATCTCCCAGGAATGCAGTGAGCAGTCATCTCCCAGGGGTGCAGTGAGGAGGCATCTCCCAGGAGTGCAGTGAGGAGGCATCTCCTGGGGTGCAGTGAGCAGTCATCTCCCAGGGGTGCAGTGAGCAGTCATCTCCCAGGAATGCAGTGAGTAGTCATCTCCTTGGGTGCAGTGAGCAGTCATCTCCCAGGGGTGCAGTGAGCAGTCATCTCCTTGGGTGCAGTGAGCAGTCATCTCCGTGGGGTGCAGTGAGCAGTCATCTCCGTGGGGTGCAGTGAGCAGTCATCTCCTTGGGTGCGGTGAACAAGCAGGATGCTGAGATGCTGGTGTAGATGTAAACCTCCCCCTCCCTTTGGGAAATTCAAACTGAAAAACTATTAGAAATAATGAGAGTTCAGTAAGGCAGCCAGCTACAAAATAAATGTGCAAAAATCAATACCTTTCCTATGTCCAACAGTAACCACTTAGAAAAAAATAATGGAAAAGAAAGCTCTCATTCGCAATAAAGATGGGAGATATTTATCACCACAAGCAAACATCCAGGAGAAGATGTGTGTAACTGTCTCTCCCCATTTGTCCAGGCATCCTCCTGAGGTGGGGAAGAGTAGCTAGAAGATGCAGTGTGGATGCCTGCCTGGCCTCTAGGCTTCAGGCCTCTGCACAGTGGCACGTGGGTGTGTGGGTGCTGTCTGCATTTCCAAGGCTCATTTGGTGGGTTACTTTTGCCTTTTCTGAGGAGGTACAAGT